CACTCACTCATCCAATTACCCATCCACTCTCCCCTCACTCAATCACTCACTCACTCACTCACTCACAGAACAGCAACCTGTTACTGCTTGTGACCCAGCTACCTTCTGCCCCCCTCCCCCACCACACTCTCACAGACACAGATACTCACACACACACGCTCACTCACAGAACAGCAACTTGTGACTACATTAGACCCCGCAATGCTTCCCCCTCCCTCCTAAGACACACACACGCACGTAGTCGCACACTCCAGATGCATGCACACAGGCACACACTCATACAATTTACATGACACTGTTAACAGAGTCCACAGAAAAACACAACCTCACAGCAATACTGAAAACATTATGGATAATAACTTCTTTTTTTGTGAGTTGGACTTATAAGTACAGATTCCTCCTAAACAACGCCACAAGACTGTTCCAAAACGTCACACCGACAAAATCAAAGAAGTAGTTATCCATAACTTTGTCAGTATTGTACTTCCCATCTTCCAAAATGTCTCTCAAAGATACCCGTGAAGGTCCGGGTTAGAAGAATATTGATCTTCAGTAACCCATGCTTGTCATATGAGGCGACTAACGGGATCGGGTGGTCAGGCTCGCTGAATTGGTTGACACATGTCATCGGTTCGCAATTGTGCAGATCAGTGCTCATGCTGTTGATCACTGGATTGTCTGGTCCAGACTTGATTATTTACAGACTGCCACCATATAGCTGGAATATTGCTGAGTGCGGCGTAAAACTAAACTCACTCACTCTCTCAAAGAAGTTATCCTCACAGCACCCAGAGACCAATGAGTAAAGTCCCACCGTGGGTTCAGTGTGTATCTCAAAGCAGCATCGGCTAAAGTTGACATGGAAAGTCATTTAATTGAATTAAACTGAATTAGGAACCATACTCATCTCCATCACTTCTGGTCTATTTAAAGTTCTATAATAAAATCAATTGTCAAATTTCAACTGAGGGCGCCTCTACCAAGGTTCAGTATACATGAGTTTCCACTTCAGCAGAAGATAAGGGATGAAGAGTCGGTTGAAATCAAGAATTTGATTTCTCTAATATGAAGTGTGATGAATTCTGTTAACTGGAATTACCTGCAGAAAAAGTAACAGACTTCAGGTGTTATGAGCCCGTAGTTATCATGATAAACACGCGTCAGTATAAAACAAATACACACTGTTCGGTGGAGGAGAATTTTCTGGGATGTAGGTCTGTAGGTACATTAGTCAGTATGTGTGTAGGTCTCTAGGTAGCTAGTGAAATGGGTAGGACACATGCATGTGTTTTCTGTGTGTACCGTGAAACCTGTCTAAACCAGTACCACACAGGACCGAAATAAAATGCCAGTTTAGACAGGGTGCCGGATTGGACAGTGATGATCTTTTTCCAACATGGCTGCCATTTACACTCGTCAATATTTACTCTCTGACACATGTCACTGACTTGAAAACAGTTAATGCAATCCCCCAGTGTTTATAAACCTACGAGCGTTTGGTTCGCCGCGCGATCACTATTCCTGATTATCTAGTGTGCCAAGAAGATTAATTAGTGTATTGGATTATGTGTCCTTGATTGGACTGCTCATACCAATGCCAGTTTAGACACTGTTAATGACAGTTTAAATTGCTTGTTGGGACCGGAAAGTTGTGCTGGAATACAGAATAGACAGGTGCTGGATTAGACAATGTTTTAATGATCATGATATTGTTATAAGATGACGGGACCAACATTTTATGCTGGTTTTGACAGTGTGCCAGATTAGACAGGTGCCAGTGTTGGCAGGTTTCACTGTATATAGGTATTAAAGGTAGGTTACATTGGCTAGGTGAGTGAGTATAGTTTTATGCCACACTCAGCATTATTCCATTGTAGGCAGGTAGTTGTTTAAATAGGTAGTGGGTTCGTGAATGTTTAGGTGGGTAGATTGTAGCGGTGTGACGATATATCGAGATGCATTGATGCATCGATCCATGGGCCGCCGATACAGTGAATCAATACAAAATTTTACATTGTCATATATCCCGATACGATACTTCAAATGGGCCACGATACATCGATGTTTAACTTTGAATATTGCCAAATCGCGATATCTGTCAAGATATACTGTTTTTAAAATCAGCACAGAGTTCATTCTATCATGTGACTGCAATGACAGCATCCAGCAACATGCAGATATTAAAGATGTTTTTTATCTATGTTTTCTCTTTATAATAGTATTTTGTTTTATTTATTTTGTACTTGTTTTTGAAAAAGTGCCTAATGTGACTTTTTGCAAATTAAAGTTTCTTTCATTTAAACATTGTTTTTGTTTTGATCTTAATGTGTTAGAGTTAGTATCATCATACGTATCGTATCACCACCCTTATATTGGGATTTGTATTGTATCGCAGCTTTAGTGCGCAATACTTTGACAATATATCGTTAGGACTAAAATTTCATATCTTGATGTATCATATCGCAGGATGTATGCCAATACCAGCACTAGTAGATTGGCGATTTGTAGGTAGGTTGATGGGTAGGTAGGTGTTTAGGTAGGTAGGCAGGTAGATAGATGGATGTTTTGATAGGTGGGTAACTAGGTACGTAGATATTTGGGTATGTGGATATATAGGTTGGTCTCATGGTAGATAGGTAGGTGTTAGTGGTGTAACGATTCATCGATAGTATCAATGTTTGCATCGTCAACTACGTGATACACATTTAGGCAATATATCAGGATGCTTATATCACTAGGGTCTATGATACATCGACAATATATCCCGATACAACTTAAATGCTACTTAAAGTTGTGAGGAGTATTGCATTAGGAATAGGAAGGGGAGTCTCTTTGAAATTCTTCTCAATTTTAAACAAATTGAACCCTATAGGAATTTGTTTGTGTCTGCTATCTTGCTACATGAACAAAGGAGTTGGTGTATAAGTGAAAAAGTGTGAACACCTTTCAAACTCTGTGAACTGTAGAATAAATATCTTCAAGTAATTGAAATATGTTTTAGTTGTTTGACAAATAACACAACTTATTAACAACTATGAACGATGTCTTAGCTTTGTTAAGAAAGATTACAAAGAGAACATAAAATTTAGAAAGCATACTTAAAAGTTATTTTCAGTGATTCTGAATTCTGATATAAATTGTAAAGTATCGGGATACGTATAGTATCGCCACCATTGTATCGTGATGATAATCGTCTCGCAGGTTCCTTGCCAATACTTTCATTATGTTCATGATATATCGTCTCGCCTCATTAAACTGTTATCGCAGATATTGCCACATATTGATGACACCGTTTGGCTGTCAACGCTGATACTCCATCAGAAGTACTGTACATGTTGCAGCATCAGACACAGTTGTCGGGTAGACAGCATGAGTTCCCGTCTACCTACACCGACCAAAACAGGTCAAAAAGTCATCACAGACCACCTCGGGTCAAAGGTCGTCACAGGTGTCAGCACTTAGTCATGTCAGTCGCAAAGAGAAATATCGCAGGATTAAATCACGTGCACAAGAAGGACCAAAGTCAAAACTTCCAGGAACCAGACTGAGAGGTAAGAATTACATTTGACCTTTCCTCAGTGAAATCCCCCTAGGGTTCCACAAGTACTTGTTCAAGAATGTTGAAGCACCTGTGTCATAGAGAAACATGTTGTTTTGTTTCAGGAACTACACATAACATGCACCCAATAATTCTTGTTTCTCTGTCTGCCAAATACAACAGTTTTGTTGAAATGTATTTACACGAAGTACACTTTGTCTACACAACACCTGTCTCCGCTGGGTCCAAGAGGTAAGGTAACACGGTTTGTTCCAGCATACCATCTCACAGAGTTCTACCTTTCTGTTTGAAGGCCTTCATAAATCAGACCTTCAGTATTGCATGTCGTTGAGATACGATTCAATGATGTATAGATGCATCGTGGATTAAACCTGACGATATGATTCACTATATGCTTAGCAATGTATCGACAATGTTTTACAGCTGTATTGATGGCAAATACCAACTCAGGCTTGTGTTTCCTTACTGTGTAGTGGAATGCCAAATCTGATGGCATGATTCTAAAGGATGAGCTAACCAATCACACAAGTTTAATGAAAGAAAGTTACACAAGTGGAATGTCATTATACAGGTGTTAAATTTTAAATTCCTTGACACAAGGGTGTCATAATGACAAAATCCAAGAATACGAAAGTGCTTTGCCACTAATTATACAAGGGGTGTGATTGCAGTGCCAAGTGCCATTATACAATGGGTGTCATTGCGATGAAGTGCCATTATACAAGGGGTGTGTCATTGCGATGAAGTGCCATTATACAATGGTGTTATTGTGGTGAAATGTCATGATACAAGGGTGTTATTGTGGTGAAATGTGATACAAGGTGTGTCATTGTGATGAAATGTCATGATACAAGGTGTTATTGTGATGAAGTGCCATGACAGTCACTGTACCATGACACAAGGGTGTAATTAAGATGAAGTCAATGTACCATGACACAAGGGTGTCATTATGATGAAGTCACTGTGTGACACAAGGGTGTCATTATGAAGTCACTGTACCATTAAGTAAGGGTGTCATTGTGATGAAGTCACTGTACTATGACACAATGGTGTCATTAAGAAGTCACTGTACCATGACACAAGGGTGTCATTGTGATGAAGTGCCGTGACACTGGAGTCATAGTGATGAAGTGCCATCATTATGCTAGATTATTATTGGGATAAAGGATTCAAATACAGGGAAATCATGAACTGGCATTTTTGTGTGATTTTGAGCTAAAGATATTTGTCTGTTCATCATGTCTAAACACATTGTTGTGGACTATCTCTGGGGGTGCATGTATGACAGAGGCAATAGGTATTCTTGGAATTACACAACATGACTCTCACTGAAACAGGAATGTCATGTAGAGGCGTGAGCTGTGTCATACCATGCCCAGTCAGCATAACTCTTTAATGATTTAGTTTGCCCCTGGTCAGTGTGGTGTTAGTTACCCTTCTGTCAGTTAGCCTGATGGCGATTAGCCTTCTGTTGGTTAGCCTGATGGCGATTAGCCTTCTGTTGATTGGCCTGATGGCGATTAGCCTTCTGTTGGTTAGCCTGATGGCGATTAGCCTTCTGTTGGATAGCCTGATGGTGATTAGCCTTCTGTTGGTTAGCCTGATGGCGATTAGCCTTCTGTTGGTTAGCCTGATGGCGATTAGCCTTCTGTTGGTTAGCCTGATGGCGATTAGCCTTCTGTTGGTTAGCCTGATGGCGATTAGCCTTCTGTTGGTTAGCCTGATGGCGATTAGCCTTCTGTTGGTTAGCCTGATGGTGATTAGACTGATGTTGGTTAGCCTGATGGCGATTAGCCTTCTGTTGGTTAGCCTGATGGTGATTAGACTGATGTTGGTTGGTTAGCCAAATGTTGATTAGTGTCATATTTGTGAGGCTTCTGCTGGTTTGTCAAGAGTTGATTTGCCTTTTGCTGGGTATTCCTACCTTTATATCCTCATGCTAGGTAGCCCTAAGGCTCAGAGTAATTATATGTTCCTTTCAAGACCTCTGAGAAGGAACTAACTCCCGGCATCCTGTGCTGTGGGAAACAAGAAGTATTCAAATTGATTGTATGCAGGTGTCCCTCGATAAAGTTCCAGTCATTTTACTTAATTAATTCTGTTTATCAGAACCAAAATGGATTTTTGCGTGGATTGAAACCTGAAAGGATGCTCATGCTGTTGACCACTGGTTGATCAGCTCCAGTCTTTAATATTTACATGCTGTCATGAAGACAAGGGCATGTTCTTTGATGACTGTATTCAATCAATTAACAGTATTGAAGTCTCAACCAGACAAACCAGTGGTTGACATAATGAACTACGATCTACAGCATCAGGTCATGTTTGCCTGACCATCCAATACCCTGTAGTAAGCTCTTACACTGAGAACCAAATCATCTCTGATTCTGAAGTTTTGTAGATAATTTTAAAAAAAGATAAATATAAATCTGGGACTGAATGTCATTCTACCACTGCATCAGTTATAAAACTGATATCCTTACAGCACACACTTGCCAAACGATTAGACATCGAGGTCTGCAGTCTGGAGATTGACAAATCCAACACTCCAAGCCATGTTAATTCCAAACCACCTACCATCAAAGCTAAACATTCTTTCGGATTTGAAGTGGCGATTAAGTTTATCGACACATGTACTCCATGTGTACTTTAAAAAAAAATTACACCTCACAACCTGAATTGAAGTTTATTTAAGCCGTGAAAGGTGAAGTCAGTTTCAGGCCATCTTTCCAACATGCAGTTGGTTGCCATGGTAATTAGAAAATGCCTGGCAATTTCCTAATTCCTGAAAGGGATGCACCCTGCTGTATGGTCAAATTCCAAGAAATTTCCGAAACTGCTCTTATCTGGAACTGGTACCGTGGTTAAGCCGAAAGTTCCTGTTTGTGCTTCAGATTGTTTAGTCTTGTGTGTTACCAGGAGGCACTGGATGTTACCATTACTTCAAGGTTAATGGTAGTAGGAATTCCTCTAAATGTATGCTTACAAGTATGCTGGATGGATAATGTACGGAGGATATTGTTATTTTTCATCAAATACAATCTCATCAAGTGAAAATTATCTCTTTAAAGTATCACAGAGTGAAGTGTTGTTCCCCTTTTGTTTACAGGTTAGATTTTATTGCTGACATGTGAGGTGGTATTTTGTTGGAGAAGGAATTTTGATTTTTTTGTCAATCTTGGCTTCTGGGTGATAAATTTTCCCTGAACAAGGAAAAGGAGTATCCATCAGGAAGGAGAAGTGGAACAATTTAAAAAAAAACAACCCATTTTTCTCAGGACATCTAGCGCACAATTTCTTTTATTTTGTAAAACCTGAAATTAAATGCAGTTTTACTGGTATTTTACTGCAACAAAATATTTTTCTCACAAATCACACTTATCCCCATTGTTACTGGACTTCACTAAATTATTCAGTATCAGTTTTCATTGTTTATATTCAGGTATTCTGGACCTGAACAAAACCAATCATAGCTAGCATGTCAACAATTCATTCTCACCAGCTAATAAATAAATATAAATAAATAAATATTTTTCTTCTATCATATAGTCTCAAAAAGGGGTTTACAGGATGAAGTATATAATTGTTTTTAAATATTTTCATTGACAGGTTTTGTACACAAACTTTAGCAAGCTTTATAACCTTCTACTGAACATGCTCGGTGATGTTCTTGAACTGACGTAACCTCAATCTAATCTGTTATATCTACCTGACCTCGAGCTAGTGACTAGGAGTGCCATCAAGTCTCTTCTGTGATGTTCAACAACAATCTCTGAATTTAAGACACTTTTATCTATTGATATCAGTTTTGAACTCATATTTTTTCTTTAAGTTATGAGACAGGATGAGATTAATACCAACAATATGCCAAGTTCTCATTGTTGATTTGATGTTAATGTCATGACAACTGAAAATGTTTTAAGAAAAAATATTCACAAAGGCATATTATGAGCAGCACAAAATATTTGAATAATATTTCTTTAGAAAAGTAAGCATTATCCATAAAGGAGATATACCAAACATATATTAGTCAGCGATTTAAACATTTTTGATGATTATTCATAAAATGTTTCAAAACTTGTATATTTGATATTTCTACTCAGCCTAATGAGATACCCCAATACCTCTTTAAAAAATATTCTATGATGGATGGAAAATACCACTGCACCCTTTTTAAAGGATTATGTGTATTTTATGTAACAAAATTTAAATATATGTATTTTATTAATTTATTTTTAAAAAATTCTGGTATATTATATAAAAGCCAATCTAGCCAGACCTGTTTCACACAAGCAAGATGAGAAAATTGTATTGTGAAGAAGAGAACTTCAAAGACTAATTCTTAGTCAAGTGGAATAGAGTGAATTGAATCAACTATTGTGTATTCACTCAGAGATGCATTTGTTCAGTTGTTGATTGTCAGTAAGGTAGCCTCATGGTTTAAGTGTTCTCTCATCACACCGAAGACCCGGGTTCGAGACGCCATAAAGGCGACTATGCTTGTCGTACTCCCAACATGGGTCGACAATGTGTCAAGCCCATTTCTGGTGTCCGCTGCCATGATATTGCTAGAATATTGCTGAAAGCAGCATAAAACTAAACTCACTCACTCAGTTGTAGAATAACCGTAGAAAATGCATCACTGGATCAAAAACTAAATACTTTAAGTCTAATAACATGAGAACTCACACGCACATACTGCCTTTAACCATTTTCTTTCTCTAACCTTGTTTATTCCCCGAAGTACAGACAATCCTGTCTCAAGTATGGACATAGTTAAGTCATCAACACTTCAGGTGTAAACGATAACCTCTTGTTGTAGGAGGTTAATGATAAACAAACTTCCACGCTACCTGAGATCGAGAGAGAGCAAGGCCATGTTGATTCGCTTGAGACTCGTAGCCCCAGAAAATGATGAAGGCCTCACATATGGTCAGCATAATCCACTTGCTACTCTGTATGCGTGGTCGACATTCATTAGCAGAACCTCGAGATGTATACTCAAAGGTGAAAGAAACTGATTGTGCTTATTTTTCTGAAAAATGTATTCTAATTATGAGGATTTGAACTTTATGAGGTGATTACAATCATAATATTAATGCATTACCAAATTAATCCAATTGTCGAATTTTGGCAAAAGATGTTTTATGAAATTAATGCGATTACCCTGCCTTGAACTATAACAACCAATCATCGAAATAGAATATGGTGACTGTAGACTTTGAATTCTGCGTGTGATAGCAATTCAATTGAATAACACCATTTGCTATCTTCACAAACTTAACAGAGATAAGATTACAGTCGTGTGTACACTGATCTAAACACCAGGATAATGCCCCATGAGTATTCAGTTGGTAGTCTAGTGTTTAAAGCGTTTGCTCGACAAGTGGAAGACCCTGTTTGATTCCCTGCATGGTACAATGCGAGTTTTCCATATATTCCCAGCTGCCATAATTTGCTTTTTATTGCTATGTACCAGTGCACAAAATGCAGATAAGAGTTACCCAATAATTATTTGTTTTTAATTTGCATATGATGCATATGGTTATTGCTGATTCATCATAAAACAATAATAACAACTCCCCATAACAGACTGGTTTGGTTTACATTCAGCGTGGTAGCTTTGTGGTTAAACTGTTTGATCATCATGAGGCCTAAAAAAAAAGCTTGTTGTTCCGATTTCCCGACCGACCCTAAATATTCCCGCTGAGCCTAACATTTTTACTCACCACATAATAAATTAAATCTATTTTCTGACACATGAGTAATGTAAAAATATTTTGCCCAAAAAAACCCAATCTACCTACCTACCCTAGTTCTGAAATGTAGGAAATCGGAACCACAACATTTATTTTGTTGGGCCTGGAGAAAATCCAGATTTGATTCCCCACACGTGTGAAGCCCATTTCTGGTGTCCCTTGCTGTGATATTGATGAAATATTGCTGAAAGATGCATAAAACACTACACACTCACTCACTCAAATAGGGAACGGAACCTGATGTATTATTATCATTGTTGTTATTATTATATGTCAATTAGTGATGGGAATTGGTTGAAATTGATAATTAGTTCATTACCAACAGGGCGGTGGGGTAGCCTAGTGGTTAAAGCGTTGGCTTGTCACGCCGAAGACCCGGGTTCGAATCCTCACATGGGTACAATGTGTGAAGCCCATTTCTGGTGTCCCCGCTGTGATGTTGCTGGAATATTGCTAAAAGCGCGTAAAACCAAACTCAGTCAGTCAGTCATTACCAACAAGCAATCATCGAAAAAATTGGTTAGCATCATTTTTTAGATTTTCCTATACAGGTTGTTATTGCAGATAAGCTAAACATGGTTCTCTGTTGTTTTTTGCTTTATTTAGAAACTGCACAAACTGCATTTGCACATTTCACATCCAGTGTAAAATGATGCAACTTGCTACTTTAAAATGATGACTAGTATAAACATAAACTGCCCAGAGTCTTCAAGAAATATTCAGTCATGACTTTTCAGTTAGTGAAGTGAGCTTTCTAAGAATTAAACATGTTTTCAGGCCCTGACAACTTCTACGATATGTTCAATCGTCAAGTATTTCATACACTAAAACACTAGTTCCAAAATCGTTTGTGTTCAATTATCAGAAAATCTGATCGATTGCTTGGTCATTCGGACACTGCGACCAATCTTTGATTATTTCAATTAATCGGAACACTACTAATGTCAGTAGAAGTGATCAGTGCATTATTAAATGTTTAAACTAATGATTGAGGCGCTTCAGCTGTGGAATACATCGGACCCAGTATGTATAATGTATCATCATCACATCTCCGGAGAGCGGAAGGTCGCGGGTTCGATCCCCGACCGCGTCATGCCGAAAGATG